AACATTATTTGAATATTTGTTACAATTCGTCGACGTAACATACGATTAATTTATTTATCAATAATCAGGTTCCCAGGCTTAGGACGTTTGTTGTTTGTTTTTCGTTTGAGCGCAAAGCTACACGATGGGCTATGTGCACTGTGGGCACCACAGGGGTCGAACTTTTGCGTTATAAGCCCTCGGGCTTATATTTGGGGCTTATGATATATTATGTTACTATTACCTGAATATTTTGAGGTGAACCAGAATTTCATTGCAACCATGGTCAGCACAATAAATGGAGCAAATGCCCCTGGTCTCACTTCTCTTTAAAATAAGCATACAAAAAGTTCAACGTGCTTTTATAGTGTGACGTATAGGTAACGGATTGCCAAAAGCAGCTAGTAAAGGGCAGTACGTGTGGTTACAGATGGTTACCTTGCCTGTATGTTGCCACAACTGTGACAGCTTAACCTTTTTGTTACCCAAGGGACAAATTTATCCACAAGGGTGATTTTGAAATTGGTAACAAAAAGATTAAAATTAATAATTTGATCTAGTAGAGCTAAGTCTAAATGTTCATTTTATTTTTATCTTTGTAGAGGTAGGCCTAAACTTAATTCGTTTTTCGTAATCCATGTATAGTTAGGCTAAACTTAATTGTTCTTTGATAATATGTGTATAGTTAAGCCTAAACTTAACTATTATTGGTATGTTTATGGATTGTATATTGATCTCGGCGTGACTTATTGTATTTATTCACATTTTTTAGAACGTTCGACGTGACGTGAGTGGAAGTAATCCATTCTAACCTGTCATTAAAGTAAGTTAATGAACATAAAATAAAGACTTATCTCAGACTTTTCACAATCCTCGCTATGATCAAACTACAACAGAGAAACCGAGAAAGTAAATCGATAGTAACACGATAATTTGATTTGTGGGACACGTACGTTCCATGGTTAGCGAAAGGACTACTAAATGTGGGCACTAAAATACAATGCATTTTGTTCTGGGCTGTCTTTTAGTAAATATACAATTTGAAACAAAAGTTTGGACTTAGTTGTGTTAAATTCTACTGGTTGCTTTACCTTGTGTGCAGGCGTTCTGGGAGGTCTCGGTGAATTCTCAAGTTGGGTGGTAGATGAGCAAGCTCTGAAATTTCTGGTATAACTAAAAAATAATAATATCACAGTATTTTATTGAACTTGTATTTGCTTCAAGTATTTTCTTAAAATATAACTTACTGTAGAGAACATTAAAACAGCCAATCTTCATTTACAATAATTAGAGAGATTGGAATAATATAAGCGTGAAAAAAACCACCTCCAACTAAAATAAGCCGATAAAACACGATTCAATTTACTAATAATATTAGTAATATGGCTGATATAAAAATGATAATAATAATAATTTCGATCCAGACCGGTTGTAGTTAGTATCCTGTAGATAGGCAGACAGACAAATAAACACACCAGCATATAGACAGATTCCATATTCACCGATATAAAAATGCTACCACACTTCAAAAACGTGTATGACCGTGTTTTATATTTAAAACACAACTAATGTACCAGATAAAAGTCAGGTTTGTAACTACCTGGAGGTAAAGAAGGTCGGACAGGAGAAGTAGCATCAGGGTGAACATTGGTTTCGTAGGAAACTGGCGAATCCAAGATCCTTCTAGGGTACATAGGTTGGGGTTCTGGAGGAGATACGTCTTCTTCTTTGTTGTTGGTAGGTTGTGTTAGGCCTAAACGTTGAAGGATTTTTCTCACACCTTCTTGTGCCTGAAAATACAGAAATTGTGACTTTATTTAACTACTTAGTATTACCATATTTTCTTAACGTGCTGTGACGTTTAACGTTTTTCCACCCCTAGGCCCTTTCGTGGACCAGACATAGGTCAGTGGGGTCGAGAATAGTAGTTTATTATCAACAGACAAGGATCTGATCTGTAACCACCGATTATTGAACAGCAAAGATAGGAAGAGAAAGATGTGATCTGTAACCACCGATTATTAAACAGCAAAGACAGGAAGAGAAGGAACTGATCTGTAACCACTGATTATTAAACAGCAATTACAGGAAGAGAAGGATCTGATCTGTAACCACTGATTATTAAACAGCAAAGACAGGAAGAGAAAGATCTTATCTGTAACCACCGATTATTAAACAGCAAAGACAGGAAGCGAAGAACCTGATCTGTAACCACTGATTATTAAACAGCAAAGACAGGAAGAGAAGAACCTGATCTGTAACCACCGATTATTAAACAGCAAAGACAGGAAGAGAAGAACCCGATCTGTAACCACCGATTATTAAACAGCAAAGACAGGAAGAGAAGAACCC